CTCCCATATATCTTCAGTTGAACAGACGGGTTTTGGTTAGCAAAAGAGATCACGAACAAAGACTTGAACATTCCAAAGAATACCACTTTTTTACATTTTCAATTTCTCCTACTTTACTTTCTCTTTTGTTTGACTTTGTTGGAGGAACGAGCGTAGATCTTGATCGAAGATGACTCAGTTCATTGCCCATAACAGTGATATTTGCATCCTTTCTCCTCTAGTTCTGCTTTTGTTATGCCATTTTTTTATTTTTTTTGGGAAAGCTACGGCTCAAGAGTAATATTTGTTCGTTGGGCTATAACAGTAAGTGAGTTTAAAAGATATTATGTTAAGTTTAAGTCATGTGAGAACTTGGCAGTTTTATGTTCTTTTTTAGGTAGAAACATGCTTAAAAGATATGACTATTACTTATCTTAAGCTTACTATATATATATTGTGCAGATTATGTGTCTTTCCCTAATTAAAATTGGATTTATGCTTGTAAAGGCATACCAGTTTCCTTATCTATAGCTTTTCTCATTATTTTAAAAATATATACCAAAGCATAAGTTGAAGTTTTCCTCTCTTACTTTGTAGTATATATATATATATGTGTGTGTGTGTGTGGCATTTTTATAACCGGAAAGCTTATGTCATAATTTTTATTATTGTTCAAAACCTCTAATGAGTAGTACTTTTGTAGCTTAAATATGAAAAGATTTGTCTATTATTCTTATGCTTTAAAAGTTGTTTGTAGTAGTGATTTCGAATTTGTTCCGCATTTGCGTGTTTTAATGTTTTGAATAGTAAGATATTATGTCATTTGACCCAATTTTATATCTACTTTATTTGATATTGAGCATTGTTGATTGTCTTACTAACTCTTCTTTTCTTTTTTTTTTACTTTCTTTGCATGAACAATTTTGGAGCAAAATTGAAGTTTCTTTGAGAGACCTCTCACTATGACATATCCTCTTTCCATCGCTAAACTTGGGATATGCATTTTCCCTTTATTTCCCTCTCTCGCTCCCTCGAATTGGATCCTAGCTGAAGTTAAAGAAGACAAGCAAAGAAATTTGGAAAAAATATTTATATTTTTTTCAATTCTAGTCATTATTATGATGTGTTTGTTATGCCTTGTTTGTGAACTTGTGTCTTGCTATATCTTTTGCACTGGTTTGTTTGTTGTGCTTTTGGGGGTGGGATTAGTTTACTTTTTTTTATTTTTTATTATTATCATTATTATCATTTATGATTTAGTTGTTATTTTGTTTAAGGTTTTCCTTTGGTTTCTTTTTTTTAAAACATTTCTTTTACATCATTTTAAACCCACTATTTTTCATTAATTTTATTCAACTTGGCAATGACCCTTTAAAAATAAATAAATAAATAAAAATGTTTTGTTGTAATCATATTTTTTTTCAAAAATCTTTCAAAAAGGAAACATCTTATGAAATTCATGAATAAAGGTTTTTATACTCTATCTTTTAATCACATATTACGGATCAACAACAAATTGGTTTAGACAAATTAATCCTTTCTTAAATCTCCATCATTTTAAATATAAATATAGAAGAAATTTTCAAATGTTGAAATGTTTTCCCAACATACTTAGTTGACTTTTCTGATTCTTTTAGTATTCATTTTCTTTAAAGTTAATTAACCTAAGTTTTGCCGGTTAACAGTTTTTTAACTGATCTTAGAGGATGCCTTATCTCTTTGCTTTAGGATAATTAGAACTCTTACTAGAATCATATAGGTTTAGTAAACCTTAATTGAAGTCAAATTTTAGCATTACTTAGTTAAATATTTAGGTGTCCTAATTCACCATAATTAATTAGGTGGCGACTTCTTGACTTAGTTAATAATTTAGAAATCATCAAAATGTTGTACATCATTTGGACCTCGAGTTAAAATGGGGTATAACAGCTTGACGACTCCACTGGGGACTTTAGGTTCTAAACCATAATAGACTGAGGTTAATAATTATGTTTTTAACATTTGCTTGTTTCGTTTTTGTTGTTTGTTTTATTTTAAATGCCAAAATGCTTTACTTATTATGCTTATGTGGTATTAAAATGGTTATTTGTTACTGATTTATATAAATTATTTATTTGTTATTGCTTTATATAAATATTATTTCGTTCATAATTCCTCCAATTCTGGAAATCTCACACGTACACGCGAGGTTGTGTTTTGAACACCCGCAAATTTCTTTCAAAATCCAAAAGTTAGGAGAGTTGGCATATGCGCGGGGTGTCCGAATCTTTTTTCGTGTGACTGCGTAGCCTTCTCACTCGAGTTGTCCACTCGGGAACCTTGTGTCTAGTAAGCCAAATCTTAGAAAACATAAGATAGAGCTAAACCACCCCTTAATTTAAGTCATGCATGCATTCACCTTAGGTGGATCGATCCCGGGTATCGAATCCACATTTAAGAAATCCACCCTTTTGTCGACGGGTTTCACGACCCAACGACCAACAAACATATTTTGTGCAACGTGATAATAATTGACAGATCCAAGCCTAATTTTGACATAGTGAGTTTGGAAATTAAGTGTTCATTTTATTTCGATCTTAATGTAGGATGAGTCCAGTCCCCAAAGTGCCCAAAGTTAGGATGGTCGACGGTTTCCCACACAAATTGAGGACATGGTGAGAAAATTTCACTCAAACTGAGAAACTAGCGATTACAGAAGGTTGGGGTGCCTCCCTCTGCTATTCAAAATCACCCCCAACAAACATGTGATTAGAGCACTAATTCAGTTTTGGGATCCAAACCGTGTTGTGTTCGCCTTCAAAGACTTTGAACTAACACCTACATTGGAGGAAATCCTCTATTTCACCAGTTTGAAGTATCAAAGAATGGGTCAAATTATTCCACACAGTCAATTAGGGAAGAAATTCCTTCGCTACTTAGGGTTGAAAAGTGAAAAGAAACTTCGGTGCTTCGAAAATAATTGGGTTTCTTTGGACTACCTATATGAGAGGTTATGGACGCTCGAATAGTTACAAGCTGTTTTAGGAAAGAATTCTCTTGTACTCAAGTTCATTGGCAAGTTAGACGTCCTATTGCATTTGTTGTGGCTTTACTAGGGACTTTGGTATTCCCACGAGAACACGGATACATTAGCACTTGCATATGTTCTGTGGCTCGAGTACTTTTTGAGGGAGTAGATGGCGAAGAACTCACTGTGGTTCCCATGATTTTAGCAGAGATATTTCGAGCTCTTGGGAAATGTAAAAAGAGGGGAATCAAACTTCTTTGAAGGTTGCAATCTTCATTTACAAATGTGGGCAATGGAACATTTTAACCAACGTAAAAATATGGATGACATATGTTTTAGTAACACAAATCATATTAACAGTTTTTACGACAGGATGAAAGAGTTTGTGTATCCTGTTGGTACTGATGATTGGTATGAGTTCCTGGCCCATCGCACTAGTGACCAAATTCAGTAGAAATATCCATTACTCCCACATTCCCCTGCCTATATAAGATGTAGAAGGTTTTATTATATCGAGCTAATTGGATTGAAAGGTCTCCAACTATATGCTCCGGTGCGCGTGCTTCAACAGTTTGGTCAAGCACAAATAATTCCTCTACGAGCAAATATGAGAAATTCTAAAATTTTCTTTGGACGAAACTTTGAAGTCCCTAGAGCCAGAGAGATTCTTCATAAGTGGGCCAATATCCTCACGTTATTTATTGGAAATGGGCCTGAAAAGGAAATTCCAGAATATCAGGTATGGTTTCAAGAGGATCGCGATAGCATAAGTCCAGAAGGTGAGCAAGGTTTTGAGGCTATTAGAATGACGATCTGGATAAGACATTCTCGTCTTGGAACCAAAATATTTACTCCTGAAATGTGGGCTCAAATGGAAAATATAATGCGATATTTGGACAATGCGGGAGCAGGATCTAGCAACGTGGGAGCATCATCTTCATTTCCTCCACCTGATTGATAGCAAATTTAGGCCAAGTCTTAGATTTGTCTTTATATTATGTCATCTTTTATGTATTTTTTTTAGTTTCTTCATTGTACTCTCCTTCTTCTTTTTTGTAATAATGAAAACTTGGTCTTTTGTTTCCCAAAACTCGAGTTGGCACAAATTAATGGCTTGGATCAATCTATCATAATCACGTTATGTTTGACATTTAGGCCCACCTCTGGCAAAAAGAGGTCCCGTGCATATTAGGATGCATTTTCTTTTGAATATTTTGTTTATTATTTTGTTATGTGATTTACTTGCTGCGTAATACATGTTTATTCTCTATTTATTTATTGTTATTATTTAATTATCTGCCTAATTATTGAAACAACAATCATCCACTTGATACTAATATTTCTCTCTTTTTGAAGGTTTTCTTTCTTTTGATTTATTCTCCCCAAAGGTTGATTTGCATTGACTACGAACTGGCGGATCATCCATACTTTACGAGATCAAAAGCATGTGCAGACATGACTGATTCAGGTGCGTCTGATCAAAATGGTTTGGGGCTTGTCACTGTCCTGAGAGATAAACCCGAGACTTCGGAAGGAAGGGAATCAATCCCTTATGATGAACACATTGCTAATTTGATGCAAAAATGGCCAATATGCAAAGTGAGATTGATCGACTTTGAAAACTCACCAATTTGTCCATCACTTTGAATACGCCACTTCCCGAGCATGGAACAAACATAGCTACTCCGCCTCTTTTTCCACATCTTGACTCTCCTACTCCTCAATACTTTCCACCAAACCTTTCCCTTCAAAAGACCAATCCAATTGCTTCCAAACAATCCACCAACCCTCAACAACCCAACTTTCCACAAAACAATCCGCAACAAGCCAACCCTTTACCCTTCACTACCTCATATGCGCCCAAACTACACCGCTCACCCAAACCGCCTTACCTACCCAAAAATACCAAGCAACCCAACATGTACCGGTGGCACACACTGCAATCCCTAACGTTCAATATGTGTCTCAAGTATATGTAGCGAAAACTCAACATTTCCTTAATCCAATGCCAACCATGCCAGAAGTCGATCCATATGAAGAGATGGAGAAAGAAGCAAGGTCAAGAACATATGACAATGTAGCAAGGGAGATTCGTAATTTGAAGGAAGCTTTCAAAAGTATCCAAGTCCATAAGGGGGTTGAAGGTCTTGAATATGAGGATTTATGTGTTCATCCCGATGTTGAATTACCCGTGGGGTATAAGGTACCAAAATTTGATGTATTTGATGGGAAGGGAAATCCTCGAGCTCATTTAAGGTCGTATTGTGACAAGTTAGTTGGACTGGGGAAAGATGAGGCCATTAGAATGAAGTTGTTTATAAGGATCTTAATGGGAGAGGCCCTTGATTGGTACACGAGTCGAAACCCACAGAAATGGAATAGTTGGGGTGCGATGGCACAAGAATTCATGGATAGGTTCAAGTTTAACACTGAGGCTATTCCGAACAGGCTCTACTTGATGAAGTTGGAAAAGAAGTCAACAAAGTCATTCAGAGAGTATGCGATGCGGTGGAGAGCAGATGCCGCAAAAGTTCAACCTCCAATAGCAGAAAGTGAGATGACCTCTCTTTTTATACAATCCCAAAAAAATGCAACGTACTATGAAAAGATGATATGTGTTGTAGGACAAAAGTCATTTAAGGTTGTCAGAATGGGAGAATTCATTGAAAAAGGTATTAAAACTGGGAGAATCACTAATTTGGCAGCCCTACAAGCAACAAGTAAGGCCATTCAGACAGATTCAATCGAAGGAACCCTTAAGAAGAAGAACGGCGTATCTGCTGTCATAACCATCTAGGAACGTAGGCCAAACTAAATGTTAACCTACCAAAACCCATTACCCCAACATTCATACTATAGTCAGTATACCCAAATTCCTCAACCCTATTATCACCCTTCACCTGACCCTTACCCAGTTTACACCACCCAACCAATGTATTGTCCACCTAAAGCACCTGTCTATCCGAATCCATCACGATACCAACCGACATATCCATCCCAATCCCACTACCAACCACAAAACCGTCCATTAAATGCACCCAGACCTTACCCAAACTTTGAAAAAAGACCAGCCAAAACTTATACACCTTTAGCTGAACCTTTAGCCCAACAATATGAACGGTTGAAAATCGCAGGAATACTCCAACCAATCCAAGGACGAATTCCTAATCCCCTTCCTGGATGGTATGACGAGACCAAGCACTGTGCATATCACTCTGGAGTTGCTGGACATGATACTGAAAGTTGCCTTACTTTCAAAGACAAGATTGAGACATTGATCAAAGAAGATTCAACTCAAAGGTGTTGCCCCCAATGTAAACAACAACCCTCTGCCAAATCATGGCAATATTAACTTAATTGTCGTTGACGAAGATTTTAACTTGGAAGGGACCATAGTACCAATCAAGATAGAGAAGAATGTTGAGACATCGACCTTTATTTCTCCTGTAATCACAGTCCAAGTACGAGTGCCAATTGAAGTGGAAGTTTTTCTTCCCAAACCTAAGATCATGGACCTTGTCACTTAATCATTCCCTTTTGACACCAAAGCAATTCCTTGGGATTACTCGATTGATGCAAGGGACAAAGGAAAAGGAAAGATAGTTGTAGAAGCCATTGCTGCAGGAATGACAAGATCCGGGTGTTGTTATGCCCCTGAAGAAGTTATATAAGGAGGACCAAACAAGGAAAACAACCAAAAAAGGGTTGTGACAGAGGCCGAAGTGCAAGATTTCTGGAGGAAGATGCTAACTAAGGAATATTCGGTTGTTGAACAACTGAAGAAAACTCCTTCTCAAATTTCCTTAATGGCCTGATGAATTCTGCAACTCATAGGAACGCTTTGGTGAAGGTTTTAAATGAAGTTTATGTTCCAGCAGAGACCACTAGTGAGAACTTTTCTGCCATGGTAGGACAAGTTTTGGAAGCTAACAAAGTCACCTTTCATGAAGATGAGTTGCTGCCTGAAGGTTTGGGACATAACAAAGCGTTGAACATTATTGTCAGATGTAGGGATAAGTTTATTTCCAGAGTGTTGATTGATAATGGTTCAGTTGTTAACATATGCCCTTTCACTACTCTTCGAGCTTTGGGAATTTACTTTGGAAAGATTCGTGAAAGTCATGTAAGGGTTAGAGGCTTTGACGGGACACAAAGGGGAGTCATCGCAGAAATTGATCTGCCATTGCAAATTGGACCTGTGGAGTTCATTATGGAATTCCAAATGTTGGATATATCTGCTAGCTATAATTTATTACTTGGAAGGCCATGGATTCATATGGCTGGTGCGGTCCCTTCCACTTTGCACCAGACTTTGAAATTTGTTTGGAACCATCAGGAAATTATTGTTCATGGAGAAGGTAACAACTCAATATATCCTGAAAATTTAGTCCATGTTATTGAAAGTATGGAAGAGTTGGATGGGTCTGTATTCCATATTAGGGAAATTATGTGTGCTACTCAAGCTGGAAAGGCAAATTTGCCACGTGTGCTTATGATGGTGGCTTGGGAAATGTTGAAGAATGGTTTTATCATAGGTCAAGGTCTTGGAGAGAAATTAGATGGAATAGTGGAACCAATTCAATTACCTGGTCAGAAATACACATTTGGTCTTGGATACGAGCCTACTTCTGAAGAAGTCTCATCGATTAATCTCAAAAGGAACAGTGACATTCCCTTACCACTACCTATCCCGCCCTTGAATCAGTCATTTTCCAAGGTGTTTGTTGCACAAGGATTAGAAGAAGTTGTTGAAGATAATCTCATAGAAGGACTCAAAAACTTGTTCATTGAAGAAGTTGAATGCAATATGATTTTGGAGGACGGCACCGACGCCCCGACCATATGGGATGTTATGTCTGGAGATGCTTTGAACAATTGGACTTGTAACCCGTCCCCAGTTCTCCGGGAATCTTGGTAGATGATTGTATTAGAATTAACAAAAAACATGATTCAAATTGAGGCATGAATCGTGTTTTTGAATTTGATGTGTTTTGCCTCCATCTTTTGAAAGCTTAAATGCCAAATCTATGTTACCTTTTTTTCTGCTTTAAATTTTAAAATTTGTCCTTGATTATTTATTTTATTTTTATTTCTTGTCTCTCTTTCAGTAAGCAAACTAATAAATCTGTCAATGTCGAGAATGTGACATGTAATGAAATGAGCGAACAAACCCCGAACAGTGAATAAACTTTTGCAGAATATGAAGAAGATGTGCAGTCTGGAGAGTTGACTAAGGAGTTTGAACATTTTGAGAATAAAAAAAAAGCCAAATTTGGATGAAACTGAGACGATAAATTTGGGAGATTCAGCAGAATTGGTGAGGGAAACAAGAATTAGTGTCCATTTGACTCTGTCCCAAAGAAATGAACTTATTAATCTTTTGAGACAATACATGGATGTGTTCACATGGTCTTATGATGATATGCCGGGTCTAAGCACAAATATTGTTTCACACAGGTTGCCAATTGATCCCTCTTGCCCCCCAGTAAAGCAAAAGTCGAGAAAGATCAAGTCTGATTTGAGTTTAAAGGTTAAGGAAGAAGTCTCAAAGCAATTTGATGCCAATGTCATCCGGGTCACCAACTATCCCACGTGGTTGGCCAACATAGTACCAGTGCCAAAGAAAGATGGAATAATTAGAGTATGCGTAGATTATCGAGATCTCAACAAGGCTAGCCCGAAGGATAATTTTCCTCTCCCAAACATTCACATACTTATTAATAATTGTGCAAAGCATGAGTTGCAGTCATTTGTTGATTGCTTTACAGGATATCATCATATTCTACTGGATGATGAGGATGCGGAGAAAATCGCATTCATCACGCCTTGGGGAGTATATTGTTATCGGGTAATGCCTTTTGGACTCAAGAATGCAGGGGCAACATATATGAGAGCTATGACTACCATATTTCATGATATGATCCATAAGGAGATTCAAGTCTATGTGGATGATTTCATCATCAAGTCACGGAAGAGCTCAAATCATATAACAGATTTAAAGAAGTTCTTTGACAGATTATGGCGGTACAATCTAAAGTTAAATTCCGCAAAGTGTGCATTTGGTGTCCCTGCCGGGAAGCTGTTGGGTTTCATCGTGAGTAGGAACGGGATAGAGCCGGATCCTTCAAAGATAAAGGTTATTCAAGACTTGCCTCCTCCAAAGAGTCGAAAGGATGTAATGAGTTTTCTTGGTCGCCTCAATTACATTAGTCGATTCATTGCACAATCCACTGCAATTTGCGAGCCAATCTTCAAGTTGCTGAGGAAAGATGCTGCAACCAAATGGATGGAAGATTGTCAGAAAGCTTTTGATAGAATCAAGGAGTATTTATCTAGTCGACCAGTCTTGGTGCCCCTAGAATCTGGAAGACCTTTGTTGTTATATTTGTCAGTGTCTGACAATGCATTTGGATGTGTGCTGGGACAACATGATGAAACTGGAAAGAAGGAGCAAGCTAAATATTACTTAAGCAAAAAGTTAAGACCTTATGAAGCTCGGTATACTTTATTGGAGCGCACTTGTTGTGGTTTGACTTGGGTTGCACAAAATTTAAGACATTATTTATGTGCATATACCACTTTTCTCATCTCAAGGATGGATCCACTCAAGTATATATTTCAGAAGCCTATGCCCACTGGAAGGTTGGCAAAGTGGCAAATTTTGCTATATGAATTCGACATTTTTTATGTCACTCAAAAGGCCATCAAGGGACAAGCGCTAGTTGATCATCTCGCTGAAAATCTCGTGGATGAAGAGTAGATGCCTCTTAAAACTTATTTCCCTGATGAAGAGGTTTTATTTATTGGAGAGGATATTTTCGAAGAATATCCCAGGTGCAGAATGTTTTTTGATGGTGCTGTGAATTCCAAAGGAGTCGGTGCTGGAGCAGTGTTGATTTCAGAATCAGGTCAACATTATCCTATCTCAACAAAGTTCAGATTCTTATGCACAAATAATATGGCGGAGTACGAGGCTTGTATTCTTGGGCTTAGGATGGCTGTTGACATGAACATACAAGAATTGTTGGTTATAGGTGATTCCGACTTATTGATTCATCAGGTTCAAGGCAAATGGAGCACCAATAATGTGAGGATACTTCCATATTTGTTGTGTGTGAAAGAATTGTGCAAGAAATTTGTCAAGATAGAATTTAAGCATATTCCTCGAGCTCAGAACGAGTTTGCAGATGCGTTGGCAACACTGGCTTCTATGATTCAACATCCAGACAAGAACTACATAGATCCAATCAAGGTCAATGTGCAGGATCAGCCATCCTATTGTTTCCATGTAGACGAAGAACCGGATGGAGAACCTTGGTACTATGGCATTAAGAGGTATCTCAGGGAAGGAGACTATCCAGAAGGAGTAAACAATGTTCAAAAGAGGACACTTCGGAGCCTCGCAAATCATTTTTTCCTTAGTGGAGAAATCTTTTATAGGAGGACTCCAGATTTGGGATTTTTAAGATGTTATAACTCTCAAGAGGCAAGCAAGTTGATTGAAGAAATACATGGAGGTACATGTGGGCCACACATGAATGGTTTTCATTTTGGCAAAGAAGATTCTACGAGCTTGATATTTTTGGATGACAATGGAAACAGACTGCATCCGTTTTGTGAGAAAATGTCATCAATGTCAGATTCATGGTGATTTGATTCGAGTTCCACCAAATGAGCTAAATGTGACGAGTTCTCCTTGGCCCTTTGCAGCTTGGGGCATGGATGCCATTGGCCCTATTGAGCCAGCTGCCTCAAATGGACACAGGTTCATTCTGGTAGCTATTAATTACTTCACAAAGTGGATAGAAACATCTTCATACAAGTCTGTGACAAAGAAGGTGGTGACAGATTTTGTTCGCAATAACATCATTTATAGATTTGGGATCCCCGAGTCAATTATTACAGATAATGGAGCTAATCTCAATAGTGGCTTGATGCATGAGATATGCGAGAAGTTCAAAAGTATTCATCGCAATTCCACTCCTTATCGACCTCAGATGAATGGAGCAGTTGAGGCCGCCAACAAAAATATCAAGAGGATATTGCGGAAAATGACTGATAACTACAAACACTGGCATGAGAGTTTGTCCTTTGCCCTTCTTGGCTACCGCACCACAATCAGGACTTCGACTGGGGCAACACCTTATCTTTTGGTTTATAGAATAGAAGCAGTGTTACCAATGGAAGTTGAGATACCATCTCTAAGGATCATCCAAGAAGCTGAGTTAATTGATGCCAAGTGGACACATAACCGGTATGAACAATTGATGCTTATTGATGAAAAAAGAATGAATGCAGTTTGTCACGAACAACTTTATCAACACAGGATGGCTAAAGCTTTCAACAAGAAAGTAAGATTGAGACAGTTTGAACCGGGACAGTTGGTGTTGAAGCGAATATTCCCGCACTAAGATGAAGCTAAGGGAAAGTTTGCACCTAATTGGCAAAGACCTTACACGGTTCACCGAGTACTGACTGGAGGAGCTTTGATTCTAGCAGAAATGGATGGTAAAATATGGCCAAAAGCTATCAATGCAGATGCGGTTAAGAGATACTACATCTAGAGGTTTCTATTTCATTTTCTTGTAATCTTTTTGTCATGTATTGGAACTACGTCTTGACCTGATTGCCATAGCGGGATATGTAGGAAATCCACATCGGATTTGGTCTTTTAATAGATTTTGCAAAATTTCCTTTCTATGTAATATGAACTACGCTTGGCATGATACCTTTGGTGGGATACATAGGTGGCCTATATCGGCTTCCGTCACTTTATTAGAATTATTTTTCATTTCTCCATTTCTTTGTATACAACGAACTACGTATGGCCTGATTCCGTTCAGATACATAGGCAACCCGAGGAGGGTTCGGCCCCTTTATTTCAATTTTAATTGTATCCTTAGGTTATGTTTGGCTTGGTGCCTTGATAGAATAGTGTGCATCCTATAGGAGGTTCAGTATCATCGTGACCAAAGGACAACGCATCTCTTTCACAAAAACTGGGACAATTTTTAAGAGAATCATTGCAAGAAGATATCAAGATATTTGAAGAGTATATGGTCAATCGAATCATCCGACAGAAGAAAGACTTCAGATAAAGAACGTTCGCTTTGTTTCATGACATGTCACAATTTGAAGTTCGGCAAAATTCTTTATTGATATATATACGTATATAATTTTATCTTATTTTCAAATATGATTTTCAATCAAATATTTTCTTTTTATTTATTTTCTTGTTATTCATTTAACCAAGATTTAGAATGGACGGAGGTTATGAGTCCAAGCAAAGCTGGAAGAAAGAAGTATGAAGAGCCAGACCTTCAAAGTCAACGCGAATTAACCTCCCCCAAAACTTATATTTTTTTCTTTGAGTGCAGGTTTATCAGGATTACCAGAAGCTGAGAAGTTAATAACATCCATAGCATCGAAAGGACTATATGTCGAGTGGTTTGAATTACTTACTTATAAATTTATAATTCGAAAACTTATAAGTAAATCTTTATAAATTTTCAAATGTGTTGATGACAAATATTATTTAATAAGACATTGCACATGATTTTGCTCTGTATAAATGCCTTTAAATGCACTACACAAATGCTTTCAGATATTTCCAAGCGCACTGCACATTTGCTTCAAGATATTTTTCAAATGCACCGCACAAATACTTTCAGATTTTTAGCATGCATGCTTTCAAATACTTTAAACACACTGCACAAATGCTTTCAAATATTTTCAAATGCACCGCACAAATGCATATTTTCAAATGCACTGCACAAATGCCTTCAATAATTTTCAAACGCACTGCACAAATGCTTCTAAATATTTTCAAATACTTTATATTTCGCACAAATGCATATTTTCAAATGCACAAATACTTTCAATTATTTAAAAGGAATCCTACATGGCTTTATCACTTTTCTAATGCATTGCACAAATGCTTTCAGTTGATTGCACAGATGCTTTCAAATATACTGCACAAATGTTTTAACAAAATACATTGCTTTCAAAGACTTCTTTTTCATAAATCACCAGGCTTAAAAAGTCTCATTCTTAAATCATTTGGCTAAAAAGCCTCATATCCATAATTTATTTGGTTAAGGCCTCATTTTCATTAATCATCGCTGAAAAGCACCATTCCTCATGAATCATCGGCCTTAAACCCTTTCTTTTTTTTTCTTTTTTTTTACTTTGCAAGATTTTATCTCATTAAATTATTTCGGCTTGCAAGGCCGCATTTTCATAAATTCACATCCAGGAGATGTTATTTCCATGTGTTTATCGCACCATGCTTTATGTTTAATATTATTAACTGTTTTGTCAAGTTTGAGTTCTGCAGGAGCTTTAGCACAACGTGGAACTTTATCTAAGCAGTGAACTGGGGCAATTTGTTGAGAAAGTTAAGCTTTCCAACAAAGGTCAAAGGTCTACCTCGAACTCTGCTCGACTCCACTCTCAAATACTCTCCTCAATCACACTAATTGGTAACATCATAATTCACTCTGCTCGACTCCACTGTCAAATACTCTCCTCAATCACACCAACCAGTAACATCATAATTTAACACCGGGGCAAACTTTGTAAGCTCGTGCGTACCTTGTTTTCAAGATCCTCTGCCTCATAATTTATCTAATACCCCTATCTTTTTCGCCTCCAAGGTTGCATTTGTTGGTCGGGACAAAATTGGCTATTACATCAACTTCTTTGCCCAAAAACTCTTACATCGTCTCTGGTCAAAGAGGCCCAAAATGCTCTAGCAATTTAGCTATGTTCCAGCCCATTTACAAGTTTAAAATATTCAGCAATTTGGCTATCCAAATGCAGCCCATCTCGGCCCATTTTTTGCTCAAAATGTAGCAGCTCAACTACTCAATTGAACGGACCCATTTCCTCTAACATGTCAATTTAACCCTATTAATAAACTCTAGCAGTCATACCCCACCCCTCATTCCATTTTCAACCGTGGTAGGTAGCACCATAACTGTGGATAGTCTTTGTCCAACCTTTTTTAGCAAATTTCATCCATTCACTGTGTTCTAGCATATCCTAACGTTCAAAATTTCCTTCTCACTCATATTCAACAATTTAGTCAACACAAGAAGCCAAATAACTTTTTGATTTTTGATTCTTTGGGGCAGAAGTTCACTGTTCAAACAACTTGATTTACGGAGTCCAAAATCTTCATGTGATTTTTCTCCAACCAAGACAAATTTGAAATTCAAAATAAATCCCGCTCAAACTCTAAGCTCTGAGCTTTATTTTTTCTTTCTATAAATACTCCCATATATCTTCAGTTGAACAGACGGGTTTTGGTTAGCAAAAGAGATCATGAAAAAAGACTTGTACATTCCAAAGAATACCACTTTTTTACATTTTCAATATCTCCTACTTTACTTTCTCTTTTGTTTGACTTTGTTGGAGGAACGAGCGTAGATTCTTGATCGAAGACGACTCAGTTCACTGCCCCATAACAGGTGATATTTGCGTCCTTTCTCCTCTAGTTCTGCTTTTGTTATGCCAATTTTTTATTTTTATTTTTTTGAGAAAGCTACGGGTCAAGAGTAATCTTTGTTCGTTGGGCTATAATAGTAAGTGAGTTTAAAAGATATTATGTTAAGTTTAAGTCATGTGAGAACTTGGCAGTTTTATGTTCTTTTTTAGGTAGAAACATGCTTAAAAGATATGACTATTACTTTTCTTAGTTTAGCTTACTATATATATATTGTGCAGATTATGTGTCTTTCCTTAATTAAAATATGGATTTATGCTTGTAAAGGCACACCACTTTCCTTACCTATAGCTTTTCTCATTTTTTTAAAAATATATACAAAGCATAAGTTGAAGTTTTCCTCTCCTACTTTGTAGTATATATATATGTGGCATTTTTATAACCGGAAAGTTTATATCATAATTTTTATTATTGTTCAAACCTCTAATGACTAGTACTTCTGTAGCTTAAACATGAAAAGACTTGTCTATTAATCTTATGCTTTAAAAGTTGTTTGTAGTAGTGGTTTTGAATTTGTTCCGCATTTGCGTGTTTTAATGTTTTGAATAGTAAGATATTGTGTCATTTAACCGAATTTTATATCTAGTTTATTCGATATTGAGCATTGTTGATTTGTCTTACTAACTCTTCTTTTTTTTTTTCTTTTTTCTTTTTTTACTTTCTTTGCATGAACAATTTTGGAGCAAAATTTGGAGTTTCTTTGAGAGACTCTCACTATGACATATCCTCTTTCCATCGCTAAACTTGGGATATGCATTTCCCTCTCTCGCTCAGTCGAATTGGATCCGAACTGAAGTTAAAGAAGACGAGCGAAGAAGTTTGGAAAAAATATTTATATTTTTTTCAATTCTATTTGTTATTATGATGTGTTTGTTTTGGCTTGTTTGTGAACTTGTGTCTTGCTATATCTTTTGCACTTTGTTTGCTTTGCTGTGCTTTTGGGGGTTGGGTTAGTTTACTTTTTATTATTATTATTATTATTATTATTATTATTAATATTATTGTTATTATTATTATTATTATCATTTATGATTTAGTTGTTATTTTGTTTAAGGTTTTCCTTTGGTTTCTTTTTTTAAAACATTTCTTTTACATCATTTAAACCCACTAATTTTTCATTAATTTTATTCAACTTGGCAGTGACCCTTTAAAAACAAATAAATAAATAAAAATGTTTTGTTGTAATCATATTTTCTTTTCAAAAAGGAAACATCTTATGAATTCATGAATAAAAGTTTTTATACTATATCTTTTAATCACATATTACGGATCAACAACAAATTGGTTTAGACAAATTATCCTTTCTTAAATCTCCATCATTTTAAATATAAATATAAAAGAAATTTTCAAATGTTGAAATGTTTTCCAACTTACTTATTTGACTTTTCTGATTCTTTTAGTATTTGCTTTCTTTAAAATTAATTAACCTAAGTTTGGTTGGTTAACAGTTTTTAACTGATCTTAGAGGATGCCTTATCCCTTTCCTTTAGGATAATTAGAACTCTTAACTAGAATAACATAGGTTTAGTAAACCTTAATTGAAGTCAAATTTTAGCATTACTTAGTTAAATATTTAGGTGTCCTAATTCACCATAATTAATTAGGTGGCGATTTCTTGACTTAGTTAATAATTTAGAAATCACCAAAATGTTGTACACCGTTTGGACCTCGAGTTAAAATGGGGTATAACATCTACATTATGCTTATGTTGATGTTTTATGCTAGCCATCATATTTAGTACATTATTGTACTAACGCATACTCTTTCCTACATTCTTATCAAATGTAGGGTCAGGCGATATTGACTTCCATCCTCATGGCTAGGATCTTAGTATAAGCAAGCAAGTGAAGATTTGATGAGTCCTCATAGCATCGAGGATTTGACTACCTTTTTTTTTATGTCTTT